AAGTGTACAATACTGTTAGAATTTATAGTTTATATCGCACATACTGTTAAGACTTTATGTCCGGTTTCTTATCATGTGATTTATCCACCAATCAAAATAGGAGTTATGCAATCTTAGCACTGTGCCAAACCAATGACGTTCGACCGGTATAGGCAGCCCAGCGTCCTTATTGGTCCTATGTCCGCCTAGCACGTCCACTTGAGTCCAGAACACCGATACCAGCTTCCATTATGAGAATCGAATCATTTGTTACAGATATACTGGGTTTATATATCAATCAAACAGACCGCAACGCACCATAAAATAGGAAATAATATTTGTACACAATAAAGCCAAAAAGTGACTGTGAACGTGGGAGGCAGTAGTCAATAAATTGAACATAGCTTAAGAACCGTAAATCGTAAAATAATAAATTAAAGGTCAAAATAAAGCTTCAAACAAGGCAAATATAGATATACATGATCTAGTCCATTAATAAGTCTCAGAAGTTACTCGTAATGTAATCTTCATTAGGAGATAACACATACAATAAAAGAAATGAATGAAAACATTGTTTGATAATGATCAGTTGACATCAAGTTCCAATTCTCAATTCGTCTATTTACTTCCCCCATCTAGAACGTGATCACTTTCCATTTTACCAGAAATCAGATAAGGAGCAGATTATTTACGTAAATATCTAATTTTAAACTTGTAACAATGAATTACAGATAGTATATTGGGAATGATTCACGAATGTATAAAGTTAGCTATTTGGTCATAACTAAGAATGTGACATAAATTAGCTTACACAAGATTCTTCTCATAACATAAATAGTTATGGGTTCGAGTTCCACGTGTGGGATCGTGGATGCATTAAATTGAACAGAACAAGAGCAAACAACCGAGCAGAATAACATGAATTCACTATATTTTGTTCGATTCTCATCCGTTGCTTACGATCTGTAATATTTAAAATCAAGTTTATGGGAATGTTTACAAACGTGTAACAGTAAAAATGGATGTCTCACTATAGTGGAGTAGTGAAGACATATAATGAGTTTTGTAAATAAATATAAAATGTGAGAGAAGATTCTGGATCATCAGACAGTAACAAATGATTCACTGACTATATAATGAAGTAGTTAGACGTAAATTAATAAAAAATAAGTTGGATATTAACACCATTGGATGCCGACTCAAGGGTCTAGAGGTTAAGCTCTCGTACGCGAGACCGAACGTCCAGGATTCGAATCCCATGAATGGGGTCGTGTGCGCGCGCTACTGAGGGGTCCCATGCTAGGATAAGGCTGCAGTTCGGTGCTTCCGGGTTTTCCATGGTGGTCTAACTCTGATTGACCCATGAACTGAATTATTAAATTAAGAATAAGATGAGTTGGGATTAGTTAATTATAAAAAAACAGATAATGTTATAACACCGAAACAAGGGATGCAATTAAAACAGGAGAGAGAGAGAGAGAAGAAAATTCCAAAAATTTTATAATAAACTGACGATAAAACTACTATGATAAGGATAGATTTACAACCGTGTTCACTTGGATATATAAGTCCGGCTTTAGGTGATTAATGGTTATGACTCTTACCAATTTGTTGACAGTCTCAACCATATAAACAGTATTGATAAGTTAGAAAATACCTTGAAACTTGAAAGAGAAACGAAGTTGAAGGAAAGATTGATGAAATGGTGTATTATGCAAGGTACGATACTTTTATTGTATGTAATGATCCACAACAAACAAAACACCTAAACTTTTCCAACAATTCTCATTAAAATATTCAATTTACCATGGAACAAGAAAAGGATGATAAGTTCCACATTGTGTTCTTGACTCAAATGAGCAGGGCTAGGCAGGAAGAACCAATAAAAGACTTAAAGTTGACTCTAGTCAGCTCGTATTGTTTTACACGTCATTGGTTTGGCACAGTGCCAAGGTCGTGTAAATCGGCGTTCTGATTGACGATCTTGCCACTTTTTTTGTGCTGTGAATTCTATATTGTATCGAAATATAATATTGAATAAAGCCATTAATAATAATAATAATAATAATAATAATAATAATAATAATAAGAAGAAGAAGAAGAAGAAGAAGAAGAAGAAGAAGAAGAATTAACAGAGCATAAGAACATAACATAATGTATCTACATATTCTGGAAACGAGCTACAATTACAGTTCAATAAGTGACTGCCAATGTTCAGCAAATTTGAAGGTTTAATCACAAGCTACTAGATAATGAAGCCGGAATTCCCCCATATTAATCATTTACTTGACAATAACGGTTTTATCAGAAGAGCTTTGTGGAGATTTCAGAGATTTCACAGATTGAAATCATGAGTCAGTTGAAGCTAGACCACCATGGAAAACCTGTGAGCACTGGACGGCCGTTTCGCCCTAGTATGGGACTCCTCAGCAGCGCGCATCTACGACCCCGCACCCCGCAGGATTCGAACCCAGGACATACTGGTTTCGCGCGCGGTCGCTAGACCGTTAGACCATCTCCACAAAGCCGTCACGATAATAATCATCTGCTCACTAGTGACTGACTTCAAGAGATACTTCTGGAGTTCTAGTGGGAAGCCGTTACATGTGGAGTTCAACCAGGTCTGTTGTGAGATATCAGCTCACTGAAGACAATGGTATAAGGTGGCGAAACTTCGTCGATTGGTTGAATTTAGACATTAACACCACCAAATGCCTGCTCAGTGGTCTAGTTGGTTAGGCCCCTGGCGCGAGACTGACAGGTCCTGGGTTCGAGTCTTGCGGGGCGCGGAGTCGTGAGTGCACACTGCTGAGGAGTCCCATACTAGGACGAAACGGCCATCCAGTGCTCCCAGGTTCAATCGACTCATGATTTCAATACGTGAAATAACGGTTTTACCGTGCCTTAAATTTTATGCCAAGTTAACAAATTATAGTGACAACATTATACAGCTGTTTTCTTCATGTAATTAATTGAGTTTCAATTCAATGGTCTGATTGATAAATGCTTATTCAGACACTGAAAGATTTTGAATTATGTCCCCCAATTCATTCAAGTGTGTACACTTCTAAAGAGTACATCGTAAACTGTGAAAAAAGGAACACACCATACTAATGATGTCTTGTAAGATCAAAGCTGTTATTAATAAGCAATGTATAAAAAAACATGAATACATGAAGAAAGCAGTACAACTAGAACTTTAGTGAACAAGAACACTAGTGGGGACAATCGAATGTATTTGAGCACAAAATTGCAGAGCATCTCACTAAAATCTGAGAACCATATAGTAAATCATTAATTTGCAAAATATCAATCCATCATCTCAAACTTGACTGTCCCTGTTGCAAACACCAATCCATTGTCTCAGATTTTATTGTTCGTGCGTTTTCACATTAATTGCGTTCCGTTCCCGTTCTTTCCTCATCGACCTTCTACTGAAATACATTCTATGCCTGACTACCGCCATATACTACTTGTGTGGATATAAGTAATCCACACCACATAACCTCATATGCATTGTAAAATGATAAATATAACCAATGAAAAGTATATTGAACAATTTGATCACTAAAGTAAAACATTTCCCATACAACATTTTGTGTAAAGCATTAAATGATCGTCACTTTCGATGTTTAACATATTGAAGAGACTACGTTGCTTTATGGAAAAGAATCGAATTTATTGAAGTATTAACAGCATAAGTGATCTGTTCAACTGTATAATATTCAGATATCTAATATCATTACATGTTAACCGACATTTTCATCCTCTTACCATAAACATTAACTTAACAGAGATACATCAGAAATCATGCTGTATAATCACGATCTTTTAGCAATATATACCATCCTCTCAGATGTTACCTGTTAATCAACTAAAGATGTAATTTCATAGTAGACAATGTTCATAAATGATCACAAGTTAAAATAACACCAACTTACAAAATAATAAAATGACCACTATTTTGAGTGGAGTTTTGCTTTCTAAACTAGATTTTAGTTTATACAGATGATGTTGTTCAGAAAAATAATGGAAGCTTCACGATTGAACCATCCAGTTCAAAGAATAAAACTCCACCTAAGCTAAAAATCTTACTCATTATCTCAAAATCATAGAACTACTATTTATAATTTATAGACCATTATAACTAAAATGAGTGGAATGTAGTTGTTCAGTTAACCATAAGCATTGAATACTCTCCGTTCCATTTCATATATACGTCTTTTGAATTAACTATTTTGGATTTCTACTATTGATTTAAGAAATAAATTTCCCCAGTTTTTCTTTAGCTTTCATTATTTCACTTGCTAATGTCAGTTAGTAACTATAAGTAGCCTTCAAATTCATTCATTTCTCCAGAATCAGTTACATAAATATTATTTCCAATCAATTCCTTATTATCACTATACTGTTGAGGAGATTATTAAGTTTTTGATTGAGATCATGAACCGATTGATGTTAAACCACTACTGAAAACTTGGAAGCACTGGACGGCCATTTCATCCTATTATGAGACTACTCAATAGTTCGCATCCACGATCCCGCTAGCGAGACAAAACGGCTGTCTTGTACTTTCAGATCTTCAATGGTCTTCATGATCTCAATCAATTTCTTATTGGTTGTATCTTAAACGATTAAATTCTAATTAGTTGATTGGTAAATTTAAAAATAATCAACCTATATATAAAGAGAAAATGAAAAACTTTTTATCCATTGCAGTTACATTACTACTTATATAAGTAGATTTATTCAAAATTATGAATTATTTACAAATCACCATAATTATTATTTTGCTGTATTACTTAAAACATCAACATATATTAGTTAATATACATGGTAGTGTTATATATAATACATCATGTATTCAATACAACAATAGTAAAACATCTAATGAATGTGATTATACACAATGGATATTTTTAACAGGAGCCCCTCTTCTCAATTTTGTTTCTTTATATACTTTAAAAACATTGAATACAAATTTTTGTTTTATTGAATGTCAAAATAATTTGAAATGCTATTCATTTACAACAATGCCCGTAAGTCGTAGAAGGTTGAGGAAGTCGTATATTGCTATTATTGTCATTATTATTATTATTATGACTGGTAGTAGTAGTAGTAGTAGTAGTAGTAGTAGTAGTAGTAGTAGTAGTAGTAGTAGTAGTAGTAGTAGTAGTAGTAGTAGTAGTAGTAGTAGTAGTAGTAGTAGTAGTAGTAGTAGTAGTAGTAGTAGTAGTAGTAGTAGTAGTAGTAGTAGTAGTAGTAGTAGTAGTAGTAGTAGTAGTAGTAGTAGTAGTAGTAGTAGTAGTAGTAGTAGTAGTAGTAGTAGTAGTAGTAGTAGTAGTAGTAGTAGTAGTAGTAGTAGTAGTAGTAGTAGTAGTAGTAGTAGTAGTAGTAGTAGTAGTAGTAGTAGTAGTAGTAGTAGTAGTAGTAGTAGTAGTAGTAGTAGTAGTAGTAGTAGTAGTAGTAGTAGTAGTAGTAGTAGTAGTAGTAGTAGTAGTAGTAGTAGTAGTAGTAGTAGTAGTAGTAGTAGTAGTAGTAGTAGTAGTAGTAGTAGTAGTAGTAGTAGTAGTAGTAGTAGTAGTAGTAGTAGTAGTAGTAGTAGTAGTAGTAGTAGTAGTAGTAGTAGTAGTATTGCACAGAATTATTGGGACTAAATGTAGAATAATTAAATTAAAAACAGTTTCCTTATGAGTAAATAATGAATATTCACTTTCTGTCGTTATGTATTTTAATAACAAGTTACGTTTTTCCTCATCAGCTTACAGCAATGTTCACATTTGTGTTCATTATTGTTAAGTGATATTGTTTAAGGGTAGTATCTCAAGTTAACAGACTAGTCATATCTTAAATAGCTCAGTAATAACTGCAGTGTCCCAACACTGATTAGGATAGAATGTAAATCAGTAGCATCTTGGCAAGTGACTTCAATCTTTTAGTATAAACCAATATATTAATAGAAAAGATCGAGAACGATTAGCCACGTATACATTAAAGGATTCATTTGGATTTTCTGACAGCATGAACCACATAAGTATTGGTGGTAAGTTCATGGTTTCCTTTGATATGACATCAATGTTTACAAAAATACCACTCCATGAAACCATAGACATTATTTGTCAGAATTCTGACATCCTACCTCTACCAACATCAGAATTCAAACGACTGTTAATCATGTGTACAAAAGACGTTCCAGTCCAACAATATCATATACCGACAATCCGATGGTGTAGTAATTAGAAGTTCTTTGGGTCCTGTCCTGGTAGATATTTTCATGGCTAACCTCAAAAGAACCAAGCTCAAAGGAGCGATTGATGAAATGATTTATTATTTGAGTCATGTTGATGATATCTTCATTGTGTGTAATAATCAACAACATGCAACAAATCAGCTAAAACTTTTCAACGAAGCCCATTCAAATATTCATTTAACTATGGAACAGGAAAATGAAAACAAGTTTCATGTTCTCGATGTCGCAATAAAATGAAGGAAGCATGGCACAGTTCAACGCTCAGTTTATAAGAAAAACACATGGAATGGGATTTATCTCAATCTCAATAGCTTTTGTCCAATCAGTTACAAAAAGGCATTTGTTAAAACACTATTACATAGAACAAAAAGAATATGTTCTGCCGATACACTAGAAGAGGAATGGATAAATGTTAAGAGATGTTCAATAAACAACGGATACAAAACGTGAAGATAAAAAAACACCCAAAGTAACTACAGTAAACAAAAAAAACCTATTTCTACTCAACTTCAATTCAAAGGTGATGATGTGCCAGGATCAATCATTGTGAGACTAAAAATTGTATCGATAAGTACTTATCCGGCAGCTAAACTGATTGTCCCATCCAAAACAACATGTTCTTTAACACAATCAAAGGTCGATAGGTATCCCTTTCATATAACCACCAACTATGCATACAAAATCACATTTATCTGCCAAAGCAGTTAAATCATTAGAACAAAAAGGAGGATCTACATCCGATTCAAAAACATTAAATCCATGTAACAGAAAAATAAGAGAATTTTAAAACTCAAGATCGAAAAGAAGACAAAGACTGAACGCCTATTCATCATTGCGACTAATTCTGCGCCATGATACTTAATGTCTCTAATCATTAGTTAACATTCTGACGAGATAGTCTACAACTACTAATAATTTTAGTCCGACCGTCTATGACTTCGTGAACTAATACCATGTCTTGGTTTGAACTGCCTTAAAATTTTCTTCTACTTATTGTTTCATTAGTTATCGTTGAACGTTGACATAGATGTTAGTTTTGTATAGGTAGCACATATGGTAGTCTTATTAATAGATGAAAATCGACTCATCAACTGACTCACCACTGGTTATCTGTGCATGGTGCAATAATACACTTAATCAACGCTTCGTATTCACCTTCTGATTAATACACCTTTGGGGCGTTATCAAGTGACGGTTATCAGGAGGAACTGCATACGAAGTATAAGGATTATATGAGGATGCATGACCGAGTGCCTTCAGCTAGGTGAGTCTATTAAAACTAATGTGATCAGCATCCAATGTCGAAGACTTACAGAGCTATTGATTTTGATTATCAAAAGTGTTTGTGAACCGATTTTCTTGCAAAAAAGCATGACCAGGCTGATGTTATCGTTCAATGGTGTTTGATTTGATACTGTTCGATCAACAGATTACTAATATATTTTAAGCTACAATATTTTCGGATAACGATGCAAAGTTGTTTTAGTGACTGCCATGTCAACCTAAGGGTACCAAACTTCGAAAATATATCCACAGTATTTGTAAATAAGATATACCGCAGTCAGTGTTATGGGTGAAAATCCAAACCGAAAGACCACGGTGAGAACCATCAAGAAATGAAATTATTTAGTTCTCCACACTGTAAAATGATGACTACAATAAACAATATAAGACGCTCTGTGAATAAAACTAGATAAAGTCCATGATTCATGATACTTGATTGAAGCTATGAACAGATCAATGTTAGAAATCTGTTCAAAATCCGGAATCACTGAACAGCCTGTACGTCGTAGTATGAGACTCTATATATAAGCACTGGTATGTGAAGCTTTTGAAGAAATTTAATTCATCACACAGACTCTATTCCCTTAATTCTTTCTTCTAATATTTATAGAGTACGGCATCATGTAAACTGTACAATGCAAAACTTCCAATTGATCCCTTATCGTTTGATGGAAGCTCATATATTTCTACAACGAAGGCTTGTTGTGGTAGGTAGTATATCGATTCCTTTAATACTTGTCCATTGATTCAAAAATTTTCTGGTAGTGTTTTTTTACATAACTTTAGCATTCATTTCATCTCAGTCGTATTGAAAAGAACTGCGTCAACACTTGAACTAAGGATAGGGAGTGAAGTAGTCGAATGCGTCTGATCAGCCTTAATGGGTTGGTGTCTGACGAAATCTCAGCACGGATTCGAAAAGCTTGTTTGGCTTTTGCCAACTTACGTCACCTATAGCGAAGGCGAGATATCCGTCTATGAACAAAAGGATGAGTATACTGCGCAGCAGCTCCTTCTGTTCTGATTTATGGCTGCGAAACATGGACATTAGGAGTTGAAGATTCTCGTAAGCTACTACTATTTGACCACAGATGCCTCAGGAATATTGCTCGCATCTGCTGGGATCACCAGGTAAGTAATAGTGAGGTTAGACGCAGGGTATTGGGGAATGATGGTAAATCAGTCGATGAGGTTGTGAATCTTCATCGACTGAGATGGTTGGGCCACATGTTACGTATGCTTGAACACCGATTACCACGACGCGCAATGCTGACTGGTGTTGAGGATGGTTGGAAGAAAGTTAGGGTCGGTCAAACCAAAACATGGCATCAGTGCTTGAAGTCACTGACTTCTGATTTGAGCCATGCTGATAGATGCAGACTACTTGATTGGGGTCCGTGTGACTGTCGTAACCAATGGTTGTAGACTCTTGGTGAAATAACTCAAAACCTTTCGCAATGGCGTAAGTGTATGCGCTCTCTGTCTTCCTTCAAACTATGAGATTAAAATAACTTCATATCCGGTGTTCATCTTGTTGTGCTAATACGGTATAGCAACTTGGACCGATGCATATATGTGCCTGGTTCTATGTTGTAGCTGACTGATTGTGGATTATAATCGGAATAACAAAGTTTCTAATTACATATTTCGTCACGACTATTTAGTAGGCAAACTACTCTTTATGATTGTTAAACACTTTGACCGTAATGAGATTCTATTGTCACTTGACTTGATTTTGAAAGACTTATGGAAAATACTGTACTCATGAATTAGTAACTGTGATATTTTCTTCAGCCGTAAAAGTTTTACTGTTTCCAAGAAAACTTTATCTTACTTTTCATCGCAACTCAATATATGGTCTGTAATAAAAATTAAACAAACATGACATTGGTAACTAGTTAGTCACCAGTGTTAACGTCTCATTCTTACAAGATTTGTTGCAACACGATCATCTTGGTGACGTGTCTTTGAAATGAAAAGTAAAGGTTACTTCCAGATCATATAGTCCACAACAAACAGTAAACTTATTCGAAAAACCATTGAAAATTGGAAAGTATTGAGGAGCTGTTTCATCCTACTACAAAGTCTTTGGGTAGTGCTTCTCCATAACCCTATTGTCGATTGAACACAAGAACTAGATAAGACTTACTGGTGAGTGTTAATTAATATCATCATAATAAAAGTAACATCATTATTTATGCCATGTCTAGATGAAAAATAAAAAAAATACTGTTTCTTACTAAATAATCTCAGGTATTCATTTTTAATTTAGGCCTATTATATTGAATCTATGAATTAATTTACAGTAATAGAAGGTTGATCAACAATCATCGATCGTTTAAAAATTCATAATGTGCTCCATATTCAGCTAAAATGACGAAAATCTCATTTTCAGACAAGTGGCCTTGTGCCCTACTAATATATAACATAGTGATACAGGTAGTTAGAGAACAGTGGCTTATCGATCAGACCAATGATGCATAAAACCTGTACAATCAGTTTACAGTCCTTATCGGTCCATCTTCCGGCCTAGCCCTGCCTGTTAAGTCCAGAACATCAATTCCAGCCTCTGCGATATGAATCATGTATTTTAAATATATTGTATTTTTATACAAACCAAACAGACCACATCGTACCATGAAATGGGAAATAACATTTGTAGAAGATGTAGTCAAAAGTGGCTGTGAATGTGGGGGACTGCAATTAATAGACAGGGTATAAATCAAGAATGGTAAGTCGTATATGTATCGTATTAGTCCATAAATAGTTCTCAAAAGTTACCATCCATAATTCTCGTCGGGATAATAACATATATACTGTGAGATCTTTCAGTATAAACTAAATTTTGTTTAGCTGGTTTTTTTATAGAAATTTCAGTCTAGTTAATTGATAGATTGAATCATGATCGTATAACTACTTTAATAACTTTTCAGTAGTAAAACTATTTCAAGTAAAATTATGGCTCTTGCACAGATTATTTCAGAAAACAATAGAATTTTAGATTGTACACAATTATTCAACTGAATTATCTGCTTTTTTCAATTTATTACCATCAAATCATCTTCTGTCATAATTTGTACATCCATTTCCCTTTTTAAAAGTAAAACTAATCTCTGTATTATTTGTACAAATAAATCATTTTATTGTTATATTTCATACTATATGTCTTACTATGATATCAAGTTACAATAAGAAACATTAAAAGATAACCAGAACATAAAGAAATTCTCTTTTTGATTCTCAACTGTCTAGATTTGAAGGATATATTTTGATCAAATGTTTAAAGATCATAAAATTGATGTTAACGGGGGAACCGTAGTTCAATAGACTGCTAACAGATGGAAAACAGAAACCACTGGAAAGCAGTTTTGCTATAGTGTAAGACTCTTCGGAAATGTGTATTACTAAGCCTGTTGGGAATCTAACTCAGTATAACAAGTATATATTAATTTGCTGGTACACAGCAAACTTGATATCATTAGTGGTTATAGATTATCTGTTAGTTGATTTGTCGCTGTATATTATAGTGTATGCTACTTATATCGACATGAGTAGTATGTAACAATAGTCAGGATTAGATTGTCTGCCATCACACGGTGAAGGAAAGAACGGGAACAGAATGCAATTGCTATGAAAATGCAGGAACAACGAAGTCTGAGACGACTGACTCTTATTTGTAAAGAAGGAACAATCAGTTTCGAGATAATTGATTGATATTTTGCAAATGAAGTATTTACTGTATGGTTCTCAAATTTTATAAAGATGTGCAGTAACCTTATGTTCAAATATATTCGATCGTCCCCAATTTTGTTCTTTTTCAATGTATATATGTCAGTAAATCGTATCCGCAATACTGAAGACATTGATGTTGATCTTCAGGAATTAGTCAGTATTGACGAGTTGATAATTTAACACTAATGTGAGAAGTTTAATTGATCGGTATTGTTCTTCTTTGAAAATTGTACCTGTTGAACAGTTCAATGATTATAGGTCGCAGTTTAAATATGAATCTTATTCTTGTTAACGGCTAGTACATTTTAAATAACTCTAAAATTTTAAGAAATTATTGAAGTGGAACAACTACATATATATACATCTATGAGCCATCAGCTAATACGTTGAATATAGTTCCCTCCTTAAAATTTAGTCAACGGTTAATTGATAGTCAAGTTATTATAATGATGACCTATAGGTCTACAGAATTTGACACTTTTCGAACGAAAATCTCGGTTTACTATAAATCAACTGGAATTGAATTTAACAGGTCACTGAGATCCCATCATGTGTTTTAAACCATCATTCTCTGTGCTATGATAAAAGTTCTTAGTGTGCGCTACTAAAGAATTTCAAACTGAAACGAAACACTACCCTTCTTATGAAATAACACTTTGATTAAACGTATAAACCAACATTAAAATTTAATAGTCGAATTCATGAGTCAATTGATACTATGCCACTGTGGTAAACCAGGAAGCACTGGACGGCCGTTTTGTCCTAATATAGGACTCCTCGGCAGTGCGCATCCAAAACGTTTAAGTTTCAAGTTGATTTTTATAACGGACTTTGATCAACTGTAAAGCTACTGAAAACCGTGAAGTACCAGACAACTATTTCATCTTATCATATAAAATAACTATCTAACTCTCCTTAGTTTTCAATAGGTTAATCATTCAATCTCAATATATGCAATCAGAGTTAACTTCTAGTAAATGAATTGTTAATACACTCAAGTGTTATTATATTCAATGTCTAGAAAGGCTCAACAACACAATAAATTTTCACTTTTATCCAAATATCTGAAACTATAACAACAATGAATAATGAAAGGAAAAAAGTGAACAGATTAGTAGAAGAATTACCATAGTAACACTAGAAACTAAACAATAGAATATTACTTAAACAAAGTTACTATTGAAAACCATATAATAAGTAACAACCTAATATTTGAATGAATAAAGACTTTCGAATAAAATAGAGATTGTTTTAAACACGCATGAAGTGGTGATGCGGTTTCTTTAAACAAAACGATGCACATGAATATATCTAAAGGGTTGATGGTATTGTATTAAAACAATGTAATTTGTGAATATTGAAGTATACAATCGTAAAACAATCTAGAATTAAAATGCTAATTCTCATGTGATAAGCCAAACAATGAGGGATACACACAGACTATACGATCTAGATAATTACATTGAAACAAATATGATTTTATAGCAGTATAATTATTAGCGGGACATAAATTGGATTGAAGTATGCTCAATGCACGATTGGGTTGGCGCACGCTGATTGTCTAATTCTTATGAATTTTTAACCTGAACTAAATATTAATTAATGTAGAACCATTCTTGATTCAGATAAATTCATATATGAATATTCCAATAATTTTTGGCTTTAATCAACTTGAGTTAAGTTATTTCGGTAAATCTAACAACGCATATACTAACTTAGATGACATCCTAACTACTATATGATAATTTTGACATTCTTAGAGAAAATCGACAAACGAGGAATGAAACCATATCATTGCATTAAACGGTATCAAAAGACATTGTATGTTATGTTTGATATTTCGAGGGAAATGATTAGAAAACTAAGCAAGCACTTTTAAATAGCTTACCCATAATAACTACATTACGATACTAGAAGTTGTTGGCCCAACGAGTGAAGTAGCGATATTTGACTCTAAACCAGTGTAAATTACAGGTTAAGGTTATGCTTCAATAATCTCAATTTAGATGGTCGTTTACCATAATTAACCCTCGAACAGTATGAGAAAAGTGTGCGAATTATAATTCATAGGATCATTTAGAGAAATCCATAAAAGCCATCACGTGAAATAATTTTAAATATTCTAGGAAAGCCTTATACTGTAAACTAAAATCCCGAAGAAAATCTAAGTGGTTCAGCTTCACACTTAATTGGCTGTAATGTTCTGTTTAGCCGAACAAACGTGTTTATGATGAAGTATTCTCATGCAAGTACTTCAATATATCAAAATATAGATTTCAACTACAGGATGCAGCAGTCTCGAGGAGGGTTGGTTCTGGAGAGGGGGGCAGAAGGATAAGACATTTATTGAGGTGTTAACATGTCTCATTATTTACTCCCTTCCAGAACTAATCATCTCCAAGGCCATAGAAAGAATGTTTTAAAACGGCAATCAAATAAACTGAGTGAGATTTCGTTTTTCTCATTGACTGGTCAACGACTAGAACGGCTTAACTGAACAAATGATATCAAGTCTATCAGTGAACGCTCAAGAAATTGGGTTTCCAATGGAAAATAACCTGCAATGATTAACACAGGTCACTGAAGACTGAAAATATAAGTCTGAAGTCAATAATACACATTACAATAAGCAAAATGATTCCCGCTTACAACTTACTGGTAAGAAGCTATTTGCAATGGACTCATTGGTGAGATAGCACTGTTAACCGTTATGATTACATAAGTGAACACTTGTTTAATTAACAAGCAATACGCATCGGCATCTTAATTAAAACACTTTGTCTGGTCTACTTGACGTATCACTTAATAACAAACCTTAAAAATCGAAATTCCTCAAACCACTAAACTCTAATAGATTTCGCCGTAACATTAATTGAGGAATGCTTTCGATTTATACAAACTCTCTAGTAATTGGCTAAAACGTGGCTCCGAAATCACACGATTATTTTAAGGATCATTCAGGTTTTTTTCCATATAACTATACTTTTGCCAGTTTTCGTTGTTTTCTTCCACTAAAAACATGTTGCCCACTTAACTTATCGCAGCTGTTAAATGAACAAGTGGTGTCATTCATGGTTACTTCAAAATAAAATATCGAGTCATCATCATCAACGGTATAGAGCCTGGTACATGTGTGAGTTGATCCATGTTGCCATACTAGATTAGCGTAACGAGATTAAAGTAACTAACAAATGTTAAAATAATATGATAGCAATAATATAAAGAAAGAGTAAACTTTGCAAGATAAAGACGACACTGAACCATATCACCCAAAGTCGCTAACCACTGACTGTAGTTGACGCGCTGATACTAACCAGAGTTAAAAATTTACCAGCATGAATTAGACCAACAATCAAAGTTTTCATAGACTGATAACATGTTTTGATTTAGCCACCTCTAGCCTCTTCCCAACTCATAAAAGAAATATAAAAGAAATAATAGTAGAAGACAAAACAACAAATTTACAAAACTGAAACATAAATGAATCTCTGTGAGAGAGAAACAAGTTGTTTTATTTCTTTTTCTTTTTGTCGTGTTTATGTTTTTTCTGATATCCTGTACCATTATTATTACTAACGTCACTGGTATTCGATAAGAATTTATGTTCAGTTAACAAAAGGCGAGCAACATTGTTGATATGTTTGAATCGATCAGGTCCAAGTTGGATACCACCATACCATCGACTTACCTAGAAAATAGAACACACAAACACACACAAACTACGAATGGCAAAAACAAAAATATGAAAACATTTAGGAGATTAAAGAAATAAGGTTTAGCCAGATATTTCAAATGAATTTTGACGTGTAGATGAAACACAACGATGTATTAATAAAGAAGTGGATCCTTGTCATACAGAGAAAAATATAAAACAAAAACCATTTAAATAGAATTCAAGAAAACTTGTAACTTTCTTTTTAAAATACCACCAATCATTTGATAAAAACTTTGTGGATGAGTTAAAAGCTGCTAACTAACCAAATATCATCTGCTATGAATACAGTAAAACTTCGGATTTTACAGTCCTAAAACCTTAATTTATACACTCGTGCAACGAGTATTATTTGTGAGCCTACAATACAGATTCTGCTCAATGAGTTTCACCTGTTTTCTATTTCTTCATTTGTTTTCTGATATTTTATGTTGCCCTGTCTCTCAAGGTAAAAATCAGATTGTATGTAGCAAGGAGGTTCAAACTAATATTACTTTTTGGGGAGATAATAAAAGATTTGTGGGCTCGTACACGAGGGGTAACAGGCGTAAGTAAAGTAAGTCTTTGTAAGAGGCTGATGTTACTCTTTTCATTGTCTAAATGGGTCAACAGCAACTGAAGTGTAATTGTAAGGAAACTGTTTGATTTCCATTTCATAAGTGTAAGACAAGTCATTATTTTATTATAACTTACTCTAGGAGGAAACAGCTTTCTAGTGCTTCCAAGTTTCAAAATGTTTGTCATGATTGTCGTGATTTAAATAAAATATTAAAGATGCGTTGCTCTCCCTTTAAGGGGAAAATGTTACCTCATGATTGGTTTGTATTATAGTTCAGATTGATCATAAAGAATAAGGTAGCTAAGTGGATAAACCATTTAACGCATCGAGGTTTCATTTGCTTTATTGGGTTGGTTTGATGAAATATTGGAGATAAAGAAGGCTCGCTTGACGTATACTAACTAGCATCTCTTTGTGGCCTTCGCGTGTCGTTTCATTGCACGGCAGTTTGCTGTCATATTTTATAGCTGTGAAATATCGCAACATTCGTCGGCTACTACTATTTGATCACAGACGTCCTTGAAGCATTGAGAACATCTATTTACTGACTATCGGTCGAAGCCATATCGATAGATACATACTAGCTGGTTGGTATCCACGTGATTACTGTGATCAATGGTTAGATATGTGGAATGACATGAGTTACGATAGATCACAGTAGCCTAGATGCACTGGCTCTTTATCGTTCTCTGGATTTTGAGTCCAAGCATTTCTTTGCCCATGCCTTTTTATTCAATTTACTCGAACAATATTTTGAACGTTTGATCTTTTTCACCATAATTTCAACTACGATTATTTCGAATCTCATGCTATTCATCTCATCATGCTGATCTAATATGACTAGCCAATATTTGTGCCTAGGTTTACAGTGACTATGACTAAAAGTAGAAATAAATTCAGTCTAACGAGAATCTAGCCAGCTAGAAAGAAGCGAATACATCATGGGTAGATCCAAACAGTTCACACTAATAAGAGTGGAAGCAAAAGGGCGAGTCAAAAAATGTGACCATCAAAAAGGGGAAAATTAATAAATGCGGGCATTGAAATGGGAAATAACATTTTTAATGTTCGCTTAGCCCTTTATCCTGGATTAATATGCCCCTTTTTAATGGTCCTGCATATTAATGTCCACCCCTTTACACTAGCCCTTTCGATAGTCAACCTTTTGCTTGCACCCTTCAGGATGAATACTACTCCAAACACGACACATTTAAAGTCGACCATCAAATAATTTTGGTTAACAGTAGCTATCCACAATTAACGTATCGGTGTTTTCTCCGAAGATTGACACAAAAGGATAAACAATGCAACACTTTGAAAAAAATGTGATAGGAGACAGCAATGACTTTTAACTCAAAGGACTGAACCTTAAGAATAATTAGACATTAGACCAGTTACACTGATTAGTAATTTTGCTGCCTTCGATTATTTGGTATTCAGCAGTGTAACCAAGAAGACTAAATCTACAAAGCCATTTTGTTAAGAACATTTAAATTTGCCCAAGTAGTGGAAATTGATCAATAATGTCTACAGTTGCCACTAAATAGGTTAATATTATCTGTTAAGAACTGAACTACACTATTGCTCAGATGAAAACCAACGAAGAACAATTTCCCCTGTAGAGCATACCATGGTCAAATAAGATGTAACAAACTATATGTTAATATTACAACTTGGTACCTTGAATAATCGCCAATATTAAATACAATTTTTCAGTTATAACACTCACCATAACCGCTACATTTTCAATTCCTGATAATGTAAGTAAATGTAATAGTCGACCACCTGCATGTGTTTCTCCATCATCGTCACAGTCAGCTTCTTTGGAGGAGATACGCCAAGCTAGGATATTATGAGTAGCTGTAGCAACTTTTCTATCCGTAAGCAGTGTTGATATAAAAAGGGATACTTCACCACGGGTGGAAACACGTGCACAGTGAGCCTATACAGTCAACCGACATAGTCAATATTAGTATTTTATTAATGCCGCTTATATTGAACAGTATTATTTCATCTCACAAAACATCCCACAGCTTAAACGGAATTTTAACCGACTCATGGTTCAAACGCTGAGTTATCAAAGCAAAATGTAATCAATAGTCAATCGCATCAATCCGTAATTTGGTGATAAGTTGCATTAAAAACCACAATTTTCAAAAAACCAAAGTTACTTATATTGTTCAACTTAGGATATCAACCTACTTACGTATAACTGTCCTAGAGAAAACCAAGACTTCAGCAAAAATATATTTCTGTATGTGCATTCTCCTGAAAGATTATTAAGGAACTATAACAAACAAGCTAATGAAAAGATCACAGGGAAATCTCAATATACGTAATGCTACATAAAACATCTGGTAACTAAAAGCCTGTATGTTACGTTGTTTCGACTCTGATAATCATTCGTATATGCATATAACCACTGCCGGGGAAGTCCTACTCACTTCCTTTACGTGGCGGCAGTGTTGTCTACGAAATTCAGGACGAAAAGCTAATATCCGACGTTTTAACAGGGTCGGTGGACACAGAGAGTCCACCTAGAGGAGTTGGAAAACCCTGATCCCTAACCAATGGTCACATGGGTCACAGGATCCTGAAGGAACAAATGGTGTATGAACCAGTCGTTGATAAGCGGCTATCATGAGACTGCATCTCTTTACGTTGCTCCAATGCCTTGTGGATTAGACCTTTAGGTCAAAGGCTCGGAATGCGGTCATCTAAGAAAACCACCTGCTTGGGTTTTGGCAACCGGGCAGTATCCCAGCCCTCACAAAAATCGAATGAAATTAGTGTGGCACATATTTATTTGGTGCCTCCTTGTACCAATGTTTATGATGTTAAATAAATAAATATCGTTCGTATAATTGGCTCTTTTTCCAAACTGAACATACTAAAGTACTTATGTTAAGTTTATGGAAGCAAATATATATGTTGTTATATGTAACTATCAACTGGAAAAAAAAACAGAAAACGACAATGACGATAATGGAACTACCTACGAAAATAATTAGGAATTCTTGTAATTACTAGATAAAACAAGTTAACTTCCCGTCAACTAATATTACCAAATGAGAAATTAACAGAAAGTAAATATACTTTAGAATGTTTTGGAACCAGAATAATAGAAGTGTAATTGTTTTATGGTAATCTCTTGAGAGGTTGTGCAAATAAAAACAATAAATAACATTCTTTAACAATCCACTTAGACGAAAACAATCCATTATCACCAAGTTATTTCCTTAACTATCTTACAAGTACTCTCATCTTACACCTTGTATCCTAAACACTTCGAAAGTAGTTAACACAAAATATAAGTGTAGAACAATCGTGTGCCAGTCATGATATATAATTAACGTAGATCATGTCACGAATGTCCGTCAACGAATGTGTCAGAACAGTTGTAATAGTAATAGCATCAGTGGTAGTAGAGAAGAGAATACGATTTAAAAAGAATCAGTTTGCAGAATAAGACGTATAAAATCATTTTAAGATTAAAGAGCTATAGGAAAACAGTGAATGTACCTGCACCATTGGACCAACTTTGAGCAATTTCAACCACAGAATAATCATGAATCTAGAGTTCAAAAACCAACATTTCAGTAATAATCAATGAATAAATAGCTAATATCTAAGGAATACTTATAGTTACGTAGGTACTTATTGATAAACGGTGCTCTTGTTCAAAACAATCACTTTCAATAAGAATACTCCCATACGTCACACCGAAAGTATAGTTTGATATGAAACAAATATCGACCTTTTAATCACTAAGATAGTTACCTGGAAAACGCTTTTACGATCTATAAGCGGTTCACCATGATAAATCTCTGGTACTTTTGAATTTAAAGCAAATGGCAAAATTTGGGGAGATATGTCAAGATGAGATTTTACTGAAGGCACCGATACAACCGCACTTGGTAGTTCGTGATTTTCCGGCACATACTGTGATGATGATTCTTCAACTTTATGAATGGTTAGATTTTCAGTACTCGAAGACAAATAATTACACATGAATGATCGAACAGTCTCAACCAACAAATAAACAACTGGGGAGCCAAGTGAAGACGAGACTACAAGCTGCAATTGTTTGTCGAGTTCATTAAGAATATTACACTTGAGCCAAGGTGCATGCAATCTGAAAACATAGATGATAACATCACAATACGAACTCATATTTTACTGGATTGATCGAAGGATAGCCAGGGACTTGCTGGAATTTCAGGATAATTTGTTCCTTGCTAGTAGTATCACCCATTTTTGAGTCGATCCTTATCTCGTAGACTCTATGACTCCATATAATTAACAATAAATTTACTTGTTCTCAGGCTCCAAGACAAAAAAGTCCTCTTCATATATAGCAGAGAGAACTTCTATTTCTTCTGCTGCTTCTGTGAAATCATACGGCTGATCAGTTGAGAGGTTCATTCGCTTTACTCCTACTTCTAAATTTATAGTATATATACACACGAGTAGTGACGAACCGTTTAGACGAAAAACAGACTAACATACCTACTTTCCAAGCTCAACAACAAAGTCATTATTTTTATGAAAATCTAATCAAAAAAATTAAACTGGATGGTTTTTTTCGCTGGTAAATACACACCGGATTTTAAATAAGTTAGTATTAAAAATGGAATAAATGCTCAACTGACTGTATTGCCTGATTAATTTGATGGTCATATACATAATACCTGGCCAACTTATCATCAAATACACAACACTGCTTTACACTGGTAACGTCAAAATATAGCAAGTGGCTGAGGATGCTCAAGTAAGTGGACTTCAGTTCGGAATCAACAACCTGTTAAAGTGGTCTCTGATATGAAAAAACCCTAAGAATAGAGCTGCGTCACACTGAGTATTGGATATGCAAATAGCACAAACTACAAAATTAAATCTTTATCCCACTAGTATTAACTTACAAAGACCATAGGATCACAGCAAGTTATCTTTTAAAGACTGGCTCACTACTGTTCGGTTGAAGTCAGATATTAAAACAGTGACGACATTAACTTTCATAAAGTGAGGTAAAATTATGTTTAAAACTGTTCATATGACTTTAGCAATATCCGAACCAAAAAATATATAGAGGTCATAGGCCCCTGTTTGGAAGACGACTAATATCTTGCAATGAGTGCAAAGGATCATTACGTAGCGGGTATTTGCTTAATCCCTGAGCTACACGCTTAACCTTAAAATGGGCTTGATGACTTAAACGTTTTTACATAATCCTACGGTAAGTGGAAAAGGCCTAATTATTACTCAGTAGACACTAGGTGATTTCGAACTTGGCATACTACTTACTCTCATATAAGAAATACTCCAAGAACACAACGGATGGATTTAAAAGCTAAACAGGCAAAATCGCCGTAGTGTACAGGTTTTCCCGGTGAGTAACCAGAACTAGAAACCTACTACGGCAAGAACTAGCTAATTAGGGAGAAGACTAGACGAATACAGAAGGATATTGAAAAAGAACTAACTCCAGAATGCTAAACGTGCAGCACAAAGGCGAAAATCAACTGAAATCAACGTGGTTGTTGAAAGATCAATACAGATATTTCTAGGGCAGCACTCCACCTACAATAAATTGTGCTGAAGGTTGTACTCACTGTGAATTTATGCCGTCAAAAAGTGACAAATAAGGGTCCTCTACGTTCTAACCCCAAAGAAGGTGAAGAATGAGAACAATTGGCGCCCTTCTTTGTTAACAATACATCCCAAGGGACGTCGCGTTCATTTGAGTCATGTTTGCCTTTATTTCCCCTTTTTGCTAGGGTATTATTTACGAAATAGTGTATGGTTGGTAGTGTTTTTTGAGACAGCGACCGACGTTCTTGTGGTATTAGTTCGGCTACAATCGTATAAGGTTGTACAGACATGTCAATGACCCACAAGACATCTTGTTACAAGCAGATTTGCCTACGGAGAAATACAACGTCCGGCCTTAGGTAAGTTTACATCTTGCCTGAAGTTTCTTTATGTGCTGAGACATGTACGCTTACATGTCTGCTCTTACATTCTGCTCCTAGGAGCAGAATATGACAAACGAACGAGGGTAAAAGTGAGCCAGATACTCAGCGAGTGCATAGAACTCGCTTGCATTTATTGAAGAAAGCCATCGATGACAATCATATATAACAAGCATGGTTAAAGCTAACTTACAAGTGACCTTAAGGCAGCGCTAGAACGACCTTCACACTATCCACCTACCTATAAGGATTAAATGATGGTTAGAAATTGGTGTCAGGTATAAAGATCACGGTTAACAGTTGGTCGTTAGGGTTAAGAACTAGATTTTGGCTTTCCATCACGAATTGACATCAATCAAAATGCCAAATGTGATCTAGCCAAGTTGTAACGGGATTAAAATCATCATGTATGATGTTGTTAATAGATTTTGTTTTCCTTCTATTGCAGGGCAAGCAAGAATAAACGCTTTAGAAGAAGAAGAGCAAGCCCTACACGCACTGAACTTACAGGATGACTCATAAGACCGTTTTGTAAACTGAGCTACATCTTCGTGTATGGAAGGCCACCAAAAGCGTTGACGGACAGCGTGTTCAGTTCTCCGTTCTCCCGCATGACCAAGTTCGCGGTGTACCTGTTCCCCAATACTCTCAACTTTCACTCGCGGTACTATCAGTAGGGGTTGTTTTGATTCATTCATTAGGAATAATGTGTCACCATATAGCTTGAAGTTACCCCATTTGGTGCAGATACGACGAGTTGTTACGGATTGATCTTTAAGCTCCCTCATGGATGGCTTACTATTTCCATGTAGCTGTCTTTGATAAACAATCTGTAAGTCTGGATCTGCTGCTTGTAGGGAGGGCCAGTCTGTCTCTGGAGCTGTACTAAGAATTGCGTTAATAATATCTGTGGTCTGGGGTATTCGGGAGAGGGCATCCGCGTTTGCATGTCGATTTCCCGGTCGATACTCGCATGTGAAATCGAACTCTTGTAGTCTCTCCTGCCAGAGTGCCACTTGCCCTTCTGGTTCGCGGAAAGAGCGGAGCCACTGCAGTGCACGGTGATCCGTGCGCACACGAAAGGGTTTGCCCAGCAGATAATGGCGAAAATGTCGTAAGAATTTTACTAGTGCTAACATCTCCCGACGTGTTGTAGAATATCGTGCTTCACTCTTATCTAGTCGTCGACTAGCATACGCAACGACCCTTTCGTGACACATTATTCCTAATGAATGAATCAAAACAACCCCTACTGATAGTACCGCGAGTGAAAGTTGAGAGTATTGGGGAACAGGTACACCGCGAACTTGGTCATGCGGGAGAACGGAGAACTGAACACGCTGTCCGTCAACGCTTTTGGTGGCCTTCCATACACGAAGATGTAGCTCAGTTTACAAAACGGTCTTATGAGTCATCCTGTAAGTTCAGTGCGTGTAGGGCTTGCTCTTCTTCTTCTAAAGCGTTTATTCTTGCTTGCCCTGCAATAGAAGGAAAACAAAATCTATTAACAACATCATACATGATGATTTTAATCCCATTACAAAGTGAGTGGATGAAATTTGCGCTAAACCTTGAATCGGTTTCAATGATCCATAATTTTTCATTATTTATGGCAATCACATATATGGAAGCAGAAATTATTAATGAAAGGTTCCAAATACATTGGTGGAAATATATGTTAATCATTCAGATGCCATGATGCTTTAATGTCCGACAGATATCAAAGGAAGTAACCAGGCATAAAATTGTTCAAATGGTTCAAATGGTTGTGGACGGAATAGAAGAAGCTTTCGCTTAACAGGCTTCCGTGTCTAGTAGCAGGGGATCACCAAATCCTCCAGGCAGGAACCTAGGTATGTTAACAATAAAAGAGGAAAAGAAATTGGTAAATCATAGTGCGATGCTGTCCTTGGTCCTTAAGAATAGGTCAAGTTGCCTCTTTAAGGACTCCTGAGAAGTCGCTTGGACTAGCTCGGCCGGCAGCGAGTTCCAGCTTTTGACAACTCTTAAGGAGTAGAAGTTGTGTCTACATTCCGTCTTGCTATGTTGTGTTTCCAGTTTCTGGGTGTTACCCCTTAGGTTATTGTTCGAACTAAGCTTAAGTAGGTGTTTAAGAGGATGTCCAGAAGTGTTAAGAATACTATAAGCCATTAATAAATCACCTCTAAGACGCCTATATTCTAGTGGGTAAAGGTCTAGTGAACGGAGGCGTTCTTCGTAAGGCTTAGATTTGAGTCCTCGAACTGATTTCGTGGCTCGCCGTTGGATACGCTCCAAAGTGACCTTATCCTTTTGGAGTGAGGGGGGAGTATTATGTTTCCGTACTCTAAATGGGGACGGATGAAACTATTGAAGATTGTGTGGAAAGTTCTTCCGTAAAACTGACCAAAAATGCGCCTCAACGTTACCAGTGCAAGGCTTGCTCGGAAGGCATTTTTGTCACAGTTAGCGTAAGACTTTAAGTCATGGGGCACCAGGACTCCTAAATCTTTTTCGACTTGGGATACTACTAGAGAGGAGTTTCCTAAGTTGTAACTGTAGTTTGCGACATGTCGCAGATGGACTACTTTACACTTAGAAGTGTTAAAGGTAAGTCCGTTATCGTCTGCCCAACTATGAAGTCGAGTCAGATCCTCTTGAAGTGCCTGTATATCGTCTTGGTTGCGTATCTCTCTCCAAAGTTTCACGTCGTCGGCAAAAAGTAATAAGTCTGACGTTACCTGTTGAGGAAGATCATTTATGTAGATCAAGAAGAGAAGAGGCCCTAGTACTGAGCCCTGGGGGACCCCACTAGGACATTCCATAGCTTGAGATAAAGTGAAATTAACCCTAACCTTAAAGCGTCGATTTTTTAGGTATGAAGTAAGCCAGTCGATTAGAGGTGGTTTGATACCTAGTCGTTTGAGCTTGTTGATAAGACATAAGTGGTTAACCTTATCAAAAGCTTTTGAGAAATCAAGGTAAATGACATCAACCTTTCCCTTGCGATCGAGGATGCTTGTCCATCTGTCCACCGCAGTCAGCAGGTTGGTTATACAAGAGTAACCCTTCCTGAAACCATGCTGTTGGGGTGAGAAGAAATTTAAGGACAGTAGGTAGTCATTTAAACCGTCGCATATCAGGGACTCCATGAGTTTTGAAGGTAACGACAGAAGAGCTACCGGCCGGTAACTTGAAGGTTCATTGCGTCGACCACCTTTGAAAATTGGTGTGATGTGAGCCAACTTCCAATTTTCCGGTAGTTTGCCTCGGCTAAGCGAGTGTGAAAACATCACGCTAAGCGGCGTTGCCAGGATTGAGGCTGCCACCCTCAGTATGGCAGGATGAACCATATCCGGGCCAGGAGAAGTGTCAAGTCTTAAGTGCTGCAGTTTCCGGAACACCAAGTCAGCGCTTAGGTCCACTTCAGAAAGTCCTGTGGAATTGCAGATGAAACTGTCGTCGATAAAGTTGATATCAGCCGGTTGAAATGTTTGAGAGTAATTGTCTGAATAAAGTTCGTTTTTCATATGCCTAGATTGTCGTCATTACGTCATTATGCAAAGTATAAATGAGTGATCCTTAAGAGATCATTAAAAGCCGACCCACCATATATACTGCACTCACTTTCGGAAAGAAAGGGGATTTTTAGTGAATATTGTTATGTCCTTGGCTATACGAATATCGCGAAATGCGACTATCAATTTAGATATGCCAACTTATATGACCAAAATAATGACGTATGCACCAGTACGGACAGCCTGCAGTTCAGACGTGTTTTTCTCAGTCTAGTCCTGCCTCTCAAGTCCTGAATGCCAATCTCAGCCTCCGCGATGTAGCGGTAAATAAATCCCCAAAATAAATAGCTCTGTAAGTTTTCGACATTGGATGCTGACCATATGTTTTAGTGGACTCATCTAGCTGAAGGCGCTCGGTCAGGCATCCGCACCAGATCACGTGTGGTAACGCCGTGCTCAACATCAACCGCAATCGCTAGCCAGATTAGATCAGAGAATTCCGATATATTGGTCATCGCCAAATATACTCTTCCGATCTCCTCGACTCTGTCTTTTGATTTCTCTGGGTGGGAACGAAATACATTAGAAGGTGTTACTGGTAGAAGCGTTTTCAAACACTGAATACCTGTGACATCATCATTGGTGAAACCGACGTGATCTGGTACACCTAATTGAAACTGTGAGTCTGTTCCTTTTTGGGATTTTTATATATCATTGCCTTATTTTTTTATTTTTTTTAAACATTGTGATTTTTTTTCGTGTTTTTTCTTGGATGTATATATTTTTCCCCTCGTTCATTATCGTACTTCATACTTCATCATGACTGAACAGACACCTAAAGTACTCAAGCTTAAGACTTTGTCCCCACCTTCGTTTCAACTGGTCCCTTTCTGGCCCGACAACATTGAAGCCTGGTTTTGCTACGCAGAAGCCGACTTCTCCGAGCACAGCGTGATCGACACACGTGCACAATTCCTCGCAGTAGCCAAGGCACTACCGCGCGAATTCAACAGGTACGTAACACCTAGTATGTTTACTAGTGATGTTTCCGATCCTTACGAAATCTTAAAACGCTCGATTCTTAAACAAGGAGACCTAACCGATTGACAAAGGTTAGATCAACTCTTCAACAATATCGACCTGCAACACGGTTCTGCGACGGACATGTTGCAACGGATGAGAGAGCTGATAGGCCGAAGAACTTTCGACGAAGGTCTATTCAAACAACTCTTCTTGTCAAAACTTCCCCAACAGGTGCAAGCAGTTCTGGTCTCGTTCCAGAACAACGCCTTAGACGAGCTAGCTGCATCTGCCGATCGCATTTTAGAAATTACGAAACATTCTACTACCGAGGTATTTTCAGTCAAAGAAAAACCTCAAACGACTCAGAATGATATAACCGATTTATGTCATACACTCACGAGTTATCTTAGTCTTCGTACCGACCGTAAGAGATCGCGAACTCCACGTAGAAACATTTCACGTAAGCGATCTATCTCTAAACCACGAGAGACAGATAACCCCGACTGGTGCTGGTATCATAACCAGTATGGAAAGTTTTCCAGAAATTGCAGAAAACCCTGCAATTTTCCCAACACGAAACCGAGTGACTCGAAAAACAACTCGGGAAACTTCCAAGCCGGCACGCGTTAACGGCAACCGTAGCCGGCGAACAAAGCCGTCTGTTATTCGTCACAGATGTGACAACGAGAGTTCGCTACCTCGTCGACACTGGCGCAGAAGTTAGCGTTCTCCCAGCAAATCCTGACGACCGGCTTCAGGAATCGGCTTTTAACTTACAGGCGGCAAACGGAAAACCGATCGCTACGTATGGCAAAAGGTACGTTTACCTTAACGTGGGTTTGCGCAAACCCATCCACTAGTTTTTCGTTATTGCAGATGTTTCTATGCCAATCATTGGTATGGACCTTCTACAACACCATAATCTAATCATCGATATTTGCAAGCGGAGGCTAGTAGACAGAAACACTAATTTATCCGTTTGTGTAACTTTTTCTGGTTGCAGATTATCCCCAGTCACAATTAAGGATACGATAGATCCACTTTATCAACCACTACTCGATAAGTACCCTGGGATACAACAAACTCACTCGAAACTACCGTGTGTAACCAGCAATGTTACACATCACATCACGACTACAGGACCACCTGTATTCTCTAAAGCACGACGACTAGCTCTTGAAAAGCTAAGGTTAGCGAAAAACGAACTCGATCACATGATGGACTTAGGAATCATACGACCGTCAAGTAGCCCATATGCATCTCCGTTGCACATGGTCCCTAAAAAGGACAGCAACGATTGGCGTCCTACTGTCGACTATCGGCGATTGAATGCAAAAACCACTCCCGATCGTTACCCGTTGCCTCACATTTACGATTTGACAGCTACCTTGAAAGGTACAACTGTCTTTTCGAAAATCGACTTGGTTAAAGCGTATA